GAGAGAGAGAGAGAGAGATTTCTTTGAATACCTGCTTGGCTTGGCTGTTGCCAGCTTGGTGACTTGACAGCACTGGTGGATCCTACAGGCTTGAAAGCAGCAGCAGTCCTCAGGCCAGCAACTCCTGGTCTGCCTGAACCTGGGCTCTCCAGGCTCTCAGGAGTGCTCCGAGGTGAAGCTCCTGAAGAGGCCAATGGCTGAGAAGGCTCCTGAGTGCTACTGTAAAGAAAACATGGACACAGTTTTGGTGAGGTGGCAGCAACCTAACTTAGTAATGGGCCTTTCTTTTCTAAGTCCATCACAGCTTTAAAGAAAGCAAAATACTGATTGATTTAAAAAATCAAAAGAGCACTTTATTCCCTGCTAAGGAAGGGAATAGAACGCATGTGATATGAAAGCAGAAAGGAGCATGCTGGGGTAAAGGGGTAGAAGCAGGGAAATGGGAGGGAGCAGGAAAGGAAACCAACCAAACAAAGTACATATGAAAATGCCAGAAGGAAACCTGCTACTGTACATGCAAATGCTAAATTAACAAAACTCTGAAACAATGACTGAGGGGTGAAGGATTTCTTCATTTTGTGATGAAGAAAAGGGAGCAGGTAGCCTTTATTCTAAACTTCAAGAATTCTTTTCTAATGGCCTGTAAGAGATTGAGCTACTGAAAATTATATAACCAATCCTTTAAGTGGTAAGTGAATCTTCCTTCCCTATTTGTAACATTTCAAAGGAATCACCTAAATTAATACCATTAGTTATTAGAATATTCTTGATAACCCCTGTGAAGTGATATCAATGTTTGTCATTTTTGTATTTTTCTGGTACTTTATAAATTAAGTTTCCCTGATACCTGTTACTCTTTCCACTTGTTACCGCTCTTTCAGTAGTACTTAAAACACCTACTATATGCCAATTGTTACAATGAAAGACAGCATCTCTTGCATCATAGACTGTCCCATGTTCTGTGTTCAGAATACCCAGAAATCAGAGACTAAACTACCTCATCTTCTCTCAATCTGTAACCCTCTCCATCTTCTTTTTGCAACCTTCCAACTTCTACCTATACTTAACAGAAGGAACAATAATATCTATCTTGTACTGTGCTCCATAATAAACAGTTATTATATACTTTAACCTCTCAAGATTCTAAGAGTTACTCCTCCTAATTCATGACATTTTATTAAATATCTGGTATATAATTTTACATTCATTTGTAATAGCTGTTTTAAAATTATTATTAATAGTAACTTCTGTATGCATCTTATATCTTGCACTACATTACAAACGGGGACTCTACTGTACTATGGGTTCATTACTTAAACCTGGTGAATGCCCTCATCTTAAATGGCATAAATATATTGCTTTTAGTCCAAGATTAAAAGGAAGAATTAAATGCAATACTAGATAATACTCATAAAGTACTTGCTCAATGCCCATGTGCTCAAGAAATAACAGTGATTATTTCTACAACCTAAGTATATAGTTCAATCATAATGAGATTATTAAGTAGCTGCTAAATAAATATACTTCATCAAACAGTTTTGCTTCTAAATGTAGTTTTAAATATTTTTAAGTCCACAGCTTTAATCTGAGACACAATTTTGTTTTCTTAACTCAATTACCTTTCTCTTTTTAAAAAATATTTTATTTGATTATTATTATTATTTATGTGTATGAGTGTTTTGCCTGCATGTAAGCACAGAGGTCAGAAAAGGGTGTCTGATTCCCTGGAACTGGAGTTACAGACAGCTGTTAGCTGTCATGTGGGTGTTGGGATTAGAACCTGGGTCTTTTGCAAGAGCAACCAGTGCTCTTAATTTTGAATAACGTGTTTATTTGTTAGAATTCTTAGGAGTAAAGTAAGCTAAAAAGTATTTTAATTTTGATTATATTCTTTACATACAGGTTTATATAAAGTTTCTCCACAAAAGCATATGATATTCAAATTTTAAATTATATTCTTTAGACATGAAGGATTCAAAGCAGATTATAAAGAATCTATCGAAATCTAGGTCATGTGCTTACTTGTCATGTTATATTTACTTGTTTGTTCATTTACTTGTGTTTATTATTTTTGCCATGCTGGAGATAGAACCCGGTTCTCATGGTTGTTAGACATTCACTCTACCATTGAGCCATACTGCCAGCTCTATACATTCAAGTGTTGATGTCGTACAATAGCCAGGCTCAGAGACAAAATGTCTCTGCACTATATCTTCTGCTTTTCTTTTTGGTAACCTTCCCACTGTTAAGGGGAGTCTTCTTAAGAAACCTGGACTCAGAGGTGGGTTGTCCCTCTATGAGCTGTTGGCCTGAGGGACACCAGAGGTCCCCAAAACAATAAAGGTCATTGCCAATAATGTTGGTTGTACACCAGAAGTGGACAGAAAACCCCTATTGCTGAAGACACTGCATGATGTGAGTGTGGGAGAGGAAGAAAGCATGCTTGGACTAAGCTGGAAACTCCCTGCCACTGGATGGGTGGGTTTCAGGGTGCCAGAAAGTGATATGCAGATGACTTCCCCTATAATTCTTCTCAATGGGGAACCCTGTGTATTGCATTATCAACACACCAAACAAGATGTTCCTGCTGGTGCAATAGTGGAGTGTCTAATGTATGTACAACCAGAAAATTTTCGATTGGATGTAATGCCTACTCCTAGGGGTGGAACACACATCTGGTATTGTAGACCAGGCCAACCCCTGTGGCAGTGGGAATTGTTTTGCAATTGTTTTGTTAGAAGGATGTGATGCACCTGCTAAAATACCATCCAAGTGTTTGTGTTTACACCCATAGGTTAAGTCAGTAGAGCAGCCACTGTTGTAATGTTTTTGCTTCTTGGTGTTTGTGTTTTTATAATAGATGGAATCCCACTGAAATGGGCCAACAGCCCATAGAAAACTGACGATGCAGAGACCAGAAAGTTCAGTGCCTTGCCATAATGGGAGGAAGATCATCACACACCTACCACCCCCTCCAAGGCTGGGGGACTTTTGTGGAAGAGGCTGGCAGAAAGAATGTTAAGAGTTGGAGGAAGGGGTAGAGTGCTAACTTTAAGTGTCCTCCAACCACTATGCTGGCAAGCTATAGTCACACCTCCTTCCCATGCTCATCAAGGAGTCCAGGGGGGAGTCAGTTACCCCTCTCACCCAATCAGTCAACCTTAGCTGCGTGGGGGGGAGGGGCTAAGGATACAGAAGCCGAGAACACTAAGAGGCACCTCTCACCATTTGTGCAGCTGTCAGGAAGTCATGTGAATGAGGACTATATGTGAGTGTGGACTTTCCAGTGCAGCCAAAAATGGGGGAGGGTGCCCACTCTTCTGTAAATAAATCCCCACCCTATGCTCTGTTACAAGCCCAACAAACTAGTTAGGATTTAAAAACAAACAAACAAAAAACAGAACAGAGCAAATGGAAACTTGAAAACTTTCATCATCCCACCAAAGTTAACTACCATGTTGGTAATCCTTTGGTCTTTGATTTTTTTTTTCTTTTTCTTTTTGGTCTCTTTGAGACAGGGTCTCCCTGTGGACCCTAGCTGGCCTGGAGCTCAGTGAGTGGCCTCCCAAGAGCTTGGATTGAGGACACAAGCCACCACACCTGGCTTTAATCTTTGATTTCTTTTCCCTACTTTTCAACCCTTAAACTTCATTGTATATATATTTTTATGTAACCTGCTTCAAGTTATTTCTGGAAACGTGTTAAAAATTGCCTCTCTTTGGAATAATAAAATACTCTTTTAAAATGTCTAAATATGATTAAAATGTATTGTATGAAATCTGCAAAAAAATCAATAAAAATATACAAGAAATTTTTTTTGAGATAAACAAAAAAGAAACCTGGACTCCTGCATCTTGTCAAGTGCCATTTCCTTCTCTCAAATATCAAAATATATTTTTTCTGTACTCTACTGCTGTTAATAAGAGGCAAGAGTACAGACTACTGATACATGTTCTAGAACAGGGTCCATGGATAGTTTCTGTCAGTCCAGAGCTACAGGCACACTTCTGTGCATAGGAACACAGGTACTTTTACGGAGAAAGGATCTATACAGCACTCTATTCCGCTCTGAAAGCGTGGTTCAGCTAGACTCAAGCACTCAAGTGGATTCAAGGTGTGCGTAGTAACCTGTCTCTGAATAAACATGATCCAGACAATGAATGATCTCTGTTCATTAGTACTCTCAATTCTACAAAAACAATTTCAAGTGTTTTTCCCTTAGATAGGATCTGCTCTCTCCACCCCCGCCTTAAATCCAGAATTATTACCTAAGTATATTGAAAAAATCTCTGTAACACTGGGTAGGACACAGGCAGCAAATAGCCTAGTTCCACCAGGCTGTTCTAGCCATTGTCATAGTTGCTCACTCTGCAATTGATTTTATATTCTGTCAAAAATTATTTTATACACTTAACTCACTGAAATTATACATTTTGTAAACATCTGGTGTGTTTGTATCGTTGTACTATGCTTAATAATGTTGGTCTAATTCTTAATTTTTATGTTTTTAGCATTGCTGTAGTTTGGATCTGGGATGGCTTAAACTGGTTGCCCGTGGCACTACTGAGAAGCGGTGAAAACTTTAAGAGGTGGGGACTAGCAGAAGAAGTTCGGTCATGGGCAGCTGTCCTTAAAGGAAACATGGGAACCTACCCCCTCCCTGTGCCTTTCTTCCGTGACTGTGAGGTTAAGCAGCTTTGCTCTAATACAAGTTCCTGACCATGATGGTCAGCCTCACCATAGGCCCCAAAGCCTATGAGCTGAAAGTCCTGAAGCCGCCAAAATTTTATTTATCTCCTGACAAACTGCTTATCTCATGTACTTTGACACAGTAATAAAGCTGAACACATGCATCTTCCAGATATGGTGGCAATTAAGTTACTTTTCAAGAAAAACCTACATGTAGAAGAAGAGTAAATCAACCAAAATAATTATATTATTTTTCAAAATATATGTCTTATTAATCATTTGACTATCCTAATACAGACACAGTCAAATAATAAGAAAGGATTTACTATAATTTAAATATTGGCACAATTACTTATAAATTCATACCAAATGTCAAGTGTGCTAATAAAATATATCAAAAAGAATTAAAAGGTGAGTTTATAGTCAAATAAAATAACCTCTGTGTGCATTTGCATATATCAAAAAGAATTACAATGTGAGTTTATAGTAAAATAAAATAACCTCTGTGTGCATTAGCATTTCACTGAAAT